GGGGCATTCTGGTCTATTTATGTAACATTATGTAATGTTGTTATATATAATAGATTAGGGCTGGCTGAGAACTAATTCAGCCGCCCATCTCATATCTTCTTCTTCTTCTTCTTCTTCTCTCATTCGACAGCTCTATTTCAGCAAACACTTCCTTTCCCTCCTAGATCTGTCCCTTTCTTCAAGAACTGGCCTCCATTTTATTCAAGTTCTCTAAAAGCTTCAACCAAGAAATTAATTCCAATATTATTAAGGATGCAAACTTACCCTCCCTAAGGCCCCTCTTGAAACCTAGATCCCAAGTTGACCTAGAATAGGAAGAGACCCATAATTTGGCTATAGGCTCCGATTTGTAAGAAGAAAGAGCATATAAAGAGGGAAACCTCTGCATAAGGGTGAGATTCTCAATCCAAAGATCTTAAAACAGAGCTTTACTACCATCCCCAACAACATACTTGATATGGCTCAAGAAAGAAGGATGCTGTGAATTGATTTCCAGGGAGAAACAAGAGAAGCAAATCTTGTTAACAACATTTTAGTCCCAGGTCAGCTTACTAAAGCTGACTTCTTTCACAACATCTTTTTGTACCTAAAGTTTTCTAATTAATGAAATCTTTTCAGAGTTATTGATCAAAAAAGAAACAAGAGAAGCCCTTGAGGATAACTTTGCATCGCAACCATTTTCCATCGACCCATGAATCCTCATAATCACCTTGTGCCACAACCTATCCTGTTCCAAAGGCAGTCTCCACAACCATTTTCCCAGCAAAGCTGTGTTTCTCAAAAGTCAAAACCAAGTTCCCAATTCCAAGCCCACCTTGACCCTTACTCCTACATACAATCTCCTACTTTACTAGATGGCTTTCTTTGAGTCCAAAATCCCTCATTCTTTTTTCAAGTCTCATAGCCACTTTCACTGGAATAGGAAGATTGGAAAGAATGTAGGTTGGCGGATTGGTCAGTGTGGACCTGATCAAAGTAATTCTCCTTCCTAAAGAAATATAATTTCTCTTCCACATAGTCACCTTTCTAGAAAATCTTTCCAACACAGGCTTTGAAAACTCATCAGACTTAGAATTTCCCCCCAAAGGAAGCCCCAAATAAGACATTAACCACTTTTTAACCTCACATCCGACGGCTTCAGCTATCAACCTCACCTCCTCCCTAGTCATTTCCCCCTGCTACACAACTCTTCCCCAAATTAATCATCATGCTAGTTTCTTGTTTGTGCTGTAGTGAGTCTGGTTGTGAAGAGATCTATTTTGCTGGTCATTTTTTTTTTCCGGTTTTGGGTTTCTGGGTCCAAGGTGGGGAGTTTTGTTTGTAAATCTGGCTTTTTTGGTTGGTGATCGTTTTAGTGTGGCTGGGGTTTTTGATGTTATCCTCTTTTTTCTTTTTCTGTCTCAGGTGACTTCTGGTCATCTTCCTTGTATCTCTTCTTTTTGTTTTAATAAATTTTATTTTATTACCAAATAAAAGATGTAAGTGAAGCCAAAAAATATTGACCCAATAGGTTTTTGGGTATCATGCTTGTTGCCTGTTACCAGCATCAATGTCCGGACTTCCTTGGTTCTAAATGTAATGGGGCACTGTTAAGATCACATGCCTGTTCCTTCCATATGCAATTGGGTTCCCCCTTTGATGGTAAGGTGAACACAAACTGTTTTTTTGGGAACTCCTCACTCTTAGGCTGAAAGGTACATTCCATTTTCTAGATGCCCACCTTTGTACCTCTATCATTGAGAAGCCTTCCTTGTTGAAAGTACCCAGGAGGCAACATTATAGAAACTTCTTTCAGCAAATTTCACCTTCATCATCAATCTTCATGCAAAAATATTTCTAACTGGCCATAAGCAATCATTCACAGTCAGTTGCCTATTGTTGGGGCATTACTGCTCCAAATACTTCATATTAACTTCCCAACATCTCTGTCCACCAATATCCCCTGTTATTACCAGATTGATCATTTCTCCTTCCCCTGTGCCCTCTTCAGCCTTACCTAGTTACCTTTTTGGTCCTCCATTCTTCCTCTCTGTTTCTCTTATCCTTCACTTAAATTCCCAACTCTCATTGCTACCTCCGTTCTAGAAACTGATTTATTTACGTTATTCATTATCAAAAAAACATTTATGTTATTCAAGACTTTATATTGAGTTTATTTTCTATCATGTGTTGGATAAAGAGACATTGTATGTGGATTATTTGACTTTCAAGTCAAACTCGATTTTATCATCTTAGACTTCTAATGTATACGTGGTAAGTTCTATAGTTTTAGGTAAATATATGGTAGATATGACTTAAAATAACACTTTTCTATATATATATATAGTCTTTTAGCATGCCTATATTTAATTTTTGACAAGTTTGTAATAAATAGAAATAATCTTACGATTCATGATTCGATTCGATTCAACTTTCTCTGTGATTTATGATACGATTACGATTTTCAGGACATTGGGTGTTAGCCAATGTGTGTGATTTTGTTTTTCTGAAAAAAAATCTGCCACATCAAAATAACACTATAATTTTGCTGATGTTGTAGTTAATTTTCTTTTGTTAAAAAAAGAAAACAAAATCATACACATTGGCGAACACCCCTTATATCAAACTTCATTACTTTCTGATGTTATTCTTTGGATAAGCACTAGAAAGGGATTTTTCTCATAAGTTTATGTATTGTTTAATTGCCTTAGTTTGATTGGCTCATTGGACTTATTTCCTTTTTCTATCCAGAATTATATTTATTTTGGGAATCAAGGTGTTCATCAAATGCTTGTACTTTGTTGTGCAGGTTTTGGCTGATAGTGTGGGCATTCCATGCCGGTTAGTGAAAGGGTTGCAATATACCGGTTCAGATAATGTGGCAATGAATATTGTAAAGGTTGATGATGGAAGGTAATCCTTTTTCCTTTCAAGTGCTATTATGTTGCAAGTTGTGGTGCATGCTTGTTTGCTACATTTCACATGGTTCATTCTGGATTTCGTCAAGGTGGAATCATGAACAACAATGCATGCCAATGCTGTGTTCTGAAATATCTTATTGCTAGTAGTTTTTTTTTTTTTTCTCCCAAAAAGTTAATTTATACTAATACTACAATTTTCTGGAATAGCATGCTATGAAGATTTTATATGGGATCCTCTAAGATGATGGATTGTGGAGATACTGGATATAATGATATACTTTTATTTCTTTTTTTCTTCTTAAATGCACATCTGTTCTAGTTGCCTTCTTGTGAAATGTAGCTTCAAATGGACTTGGAGCTGCAAACCAAGACATTTTGTTTTTCCTCTTTTCTTATATTTTAAATCACCATATTAGAGTTTGCAAATAGTACGTTCAGTAAGCTGGTGACTAACATGCATGACAGGGAATACATTGTTGATCTGATGGCAGACCCTGGCACACTAATCCCATCTGATGCTGGAGGAACACAAATAGAATATGAAGAACCTGTCTATGCAGTCAGTCCCTTTCTTAGGGACATTGACTATTCTCATGTAGCCTCCTATAGCAGTGGTGCTACAAGTTCAATTGGAGGTTGTTCAGAATTTGGGCCATTGAACAAGAAATCTGGGTCTTACATTCTTGCCTTTCAAGAAAATGAATCAGATAAGAAAGGTGGCTCGGGTGAGGTTGAAAGTTCTGAGAACACAGGGGTGGGGTCTTCCCAAGAATGTTTGCCCACTGTGGTAAAAGATGAGGTGGTATCAAAGTTGTCTGATGATCACAGAGATCACTACAAGATTGAGAAATCACCTGCTCCCATAAAGCCTAATCATCCTTATATGCATGCAAGATCTCCTTCCTGGACTGAAGGTGTTAGTTCTCCTGCTGTGCGTAGGATGAAAGTGAAAGATGTTTCACAGTATATGATTGATGCTGCCAAAGAGAACCCACAATTAGCTCAGAAGCTTCATGATGTTTTGCTAGAAAGTGGTGTTGTTGCACCCCCCAACCTATTCTCTGAAATTGATACTGAGCAGCTAGATCCCTTGGCAATTGAGGCCAAGAAGCAGAAGGATGACAAAGAAGGAAAGAAAAAGAGAAGGAATGGAACCAGAAATAAGGATCAGACTGATATCAGTCCTGGTCAGGTTTTTCCACCTCTGCCTTGTCATGATATACAATCAAAATCTAGTCCTGGCATACATCTGGAACATCCCAAGTGTGTGGAGGGTTTGGGTGTTAGTCGTCCATTGGATGTAGGGGTAGGGACTGGACCATCTTATACATCAGAGTCTGAGCTATCTGCTGCTTCAGCTAAGGACACTTCCCCGGCAAAATTTGTAAAACATGTTCCTGTAGCTGCTGCTGCTGCCGCAACAGCAGCTGTTGTTGCATCTTCAATGGTAGTTGCTGCAGCCATGTCAAACTCAGAAGCAAACCTTGGAGTTCCTGTAACAGCAGCAGCCACTGCTACTGCTGCAGCTGTAGTAGCAACAACTGCAGCTGTCAGTAGGCAATATGAGCAATTAGAGTCCTATCCCCACTTGCCTAACAATGCATCATCCTTGAATCAAATAGAGTTTAGGCAGAAAGATGGTGTTGCAGATAGAACAGGGAATGAACCACAAGGAAGTGACCGGGAGAATAGTGATTCTGCAGTTCATCCAGAAGCAGAAAGAAGCTCAGATAGATCAGCAGGTAATGATAGTGCAAAATCTGACATTGCTCTTGATGATGTGGCAGAGTGGGAAATCCCATGGGAGGAAATCACCTTGGGTGAGCGTATTGGATTGGGTAATAATATTTGCTTCTTCTTCTGGTTCTTACTGGAATTTAGTGTATAACTATTCTGCTAGTTAATTGTGGTTTATGCAATTCACATGTTCTTATCTCTTTATGCTTCAGGGTCATATGGAGAGGTTTACCGTGGAGAATGGCATGGAACTGTGAGTCTCTTGCTGAGTTTGAAACTTCATTATTTCTGATATCAATGTATTTGGTCTAATGTGCTCTTTTGTAAATTATAAATAAATTTCATGAATTATGGAAGTCTGAGTCTCTTGCTGAGTTTGAAACTTCATTACTTCTGATATCAATGTATTTGGTCTAATGTGCTCTTTTGTAAATTGTAAATAAATTTCATGAATATGTGGAAAATTTTAGAAAGATCTTCATTATTCAGGATAATGCATATTTTCACATTTTTAAGTTTGATTGTATCAATTTATCTTTTCATTCCACTAGGGAGCATGTTTGGAAAATCTTGTCATCTTATTTTGTTTGGGATGTTTGCAAGAACTTATGTACTAATGGTATTTTTTGATCATCAAAGGGTAATTTTATTTAATCAATTATATATGTGAATAGTACAACTTAATGATGAGAATGCCATCCCAAAATAACCAAAAGTAGTTTATAATGAAGCCTAATAAATTTGCAGCCTTCATGCCTTGTAGTCCCGTGTTTAGCAAGGGAATCAGCTAACCCATTTGCTCTCCTTCTAACCCACTTGAATTCAGCATTTAAATCCTCCACAATTCTTTAAACTTCCCTGAAAACATGTTTAAGAGTCCACATGGTATATCTATTACACCTTGCCCATGAGATAATTACTTTTGTGTCCCCTTCTACCTCCAACTGTCTAAATCCCAATTGCTTTGCCAACCACAGTCCTTGCAATAAAACCATCAATTCAGCCTTCAGCGAATTAGCAATACCAAGTGGCCTTGAATACAAGGCCAAGATTCTGTTGTTAGAGTTTCTGATTACACCACCCATGCCTGCCACACCTGGGTTACCCAAGGAGCTACCATCAAAGTTCAATTTTACTTTGTTGCTTTCCGGGGGTTTGCACTTCACTCTTATTCTCTCTTTAACTTTAGAGGATTGTGCTACCTCTGCCCAAGTACTTAGTATATTAGTGATTAAAATAAATCTGTAAGCAGTCCAAAGTTTTAATCCATAGTGCAACCTTCACTTTTATGCAGTCAATTACCTCCTCCAAAGTTCTGTTCTTTCTGATAAAGATTCTGTTGTTCCTTTCTCTCCACCCAACCCAAATAATTGTTGCCTTAGTAGCTCTCCACAATACTCTCCCTCTTTTCTTTGGTTGCCTCAAGAAGTTCAGGTTGAAAATGTCCACCATGGACCACCTCTTGAGGGGGGTCCCACCTGCAGCAAAAAAGAGAAAAACTCCCAAATGCAAAGTACAAAGAAAGCTTGAAGTTTTGGTGGGATAGGCTTTTTGCAGCATATCACAAGTATTTACCTTACCAAGGAAAATTTTCCAGCAGAAAGCTTGAAGTTTTAGTGGGATAGGCTTACTCCAAATTTCTTTCATGGGGAAGTCCACCCCTTGAGAGCTAGGTGAGGCAAGAAGTTTGAAAAACAAGTAACAAATAAAGAGACCATTTGGGGAGTAAGTCCAAATTCTAGAGTCCTCAAGGTTTGGATCCAAGAAAATTACTTCTAAAATATCAAGTAGGCGAATCAAAGAAGTATATTTATTTTCCCTTAGGCCTCTTCTAAACCCAAGATTCTAGTTGAAGCCAGAAGGAGAGGGTTTAGCTGTTTTAGAAATAGTTTCACCCTTAAGGTTAGAAAGGACAAAAAAGTTCAGGAAATTGATCTTTTAATGGTACTTTCCCTACCCAAAAGTCTTCAAAAGTCTTCCCGGAAGCGGATTTTGTTACCCCTTCTCACATCAAAACAGATGGAGCTGAGAAAAATAGGGTACACCTCATGAATTGCTTTCTAAGGAGATGTTGAGATTGAGTAGGAGCAATTATAGCATCCTGGCCATTACCTTCCATGTAGAGATTGATTTATGTCTCTTTCACTTTCTATCCTTTTTTGGCTCTTGGGAGCACATTTTTATGTTGTATCATATGTAGATTATTATTTTTCTATTTATTCTTTCTTGTAAGTGAGGGACATAGTTGTCCTTTCTCAGCCTTGTACAGAGTACATATATAAGATAATCTCTTTGGACGTGTGACTGATTGAACACACCCTCACATTCTGTTTTCTCTCTTATTCGAACTGTGTTAATATTCTAAACTATGAATGCTTTCAATTACTTTATGTCACAACCTATCTCTTTCAAAGGGGAACCTCTATAACCATTTACCTAGTAAGGCAGTGTTTCCAAGAACAATGTTCCCTAATCCTAGGCCCCCTTTCTCTTTTGGTTTACTAACCAGTCCCCATTTAATCGAATGATCCTTTTTTCCTCACCCGGTTCTCACAAAAAGTCCCTCATATATTTCTCTAGTTGCCCTACTATCCTAGTCGGGATGTGGATGGTAGATAGGAAGTTAATAGGCAGATTTGCTAATGTGGCTTCGATCAAAGTGATTCTTCCTCCTAATGAGATGTAATTCCTTTTCCAAAGGGCTAGTTTCTTATAGAACCTCTCCACCACCGGCTTCCAAAAACCATCAGACTTAGGGTTTCCTCCCAAAGGTAAAATTAAATAGGTATCAGCCAATTCCTAACCTCTCATCCCAACATTACCATGAAACTCAGAAGTTCCCCTTCTTCCAAATTAATCCCAACAATTCCACTTTTTTTTCCTGAAAAGGTAAGGTAAGAGATTTTGAAAATTATCAAACAACAATTTCAAGTTTCTCACCATTTCTAAATCAACATCCTCACAAAACATAATCGTTGGGTTTGTTCTTCTTGGGAGGCAAGACTTTTGTTAGAAGAGCTTTTGAGGAGTTGGAATAAAGGAGGAAGGAGAGTTTTTTAAAATCCTTTAGAGGGGACAGGGGAGAAATTTGGAATGAGGAAGGAGGGGAGGAAGAATGTGTTTGTATTTGTGTGTGTGTGTGTGTGTTTTGCGTTTTATGCTATTTGGTCGGTGAGTTGTTGTTGATGTGCGGTTCCACCTTGGCACTATTGGAGGATGTATCTTGCTTTCCTTGTTCTCTTTTTAATTTAATTTTCCTTTTTACTTATAAAAACAATTGTATCATCAACAAATTGAAGATGGGAAGCTACCACTTGATTTCTACCAATCCTCCAACCCCTAATCAGTCCTTGTGCATCTGCAAACATTATCATTCTGCTTAGAACCACTGTTACTAAGGTGAAAAGGAAAGGGGATAAAGGGTTCCCTTGCCTTAATCCTCTCTTAGCTGGGAAAAAATGTTTTGCAACACCATTAATAAGAATTGAGTAGTGTGTGCGTGTTTTATGCGTTTTTTGCTATTTGGTCGGTGAGTTGCTGTTGATGTGTGGTTCCACCTTGGCACTGTTGGAGGATGTATCTTGCTTTCCTTGTTTTCTTTTTAATTTAATTTTCCTTTTTATTTATCAAAAACATTGTGTCATCAACAAATTGGAGATGGAAAACTACCACTTGATTTCTACCAACCCTCCAACCCCTAATCAGTCCTTGTGCATCTCCAAACATTATCATTCTGCTTAGAACCTCTGTCACTAAGGTGAAAAGGAAAGGGGATAAAGGGTTCCCTTGCCTTAATCCTCTCTTAGCTGGGAAAAAATATTTTGCAACACCATTAATAAGAATTGAGTAGTGCATTGAGCTAACACAACCTTTAATCCACAATCTCCACCTTACACCAAAGCTAAGTCTCTCTAGGATTTCTAACAAAAGTCTCCAGTCCACTAGATCATGGGCCTTTTCTAAATCAACTTTACATATCAAACCATTCTCTCTGCTCTTTCTTTTGACAATAACACACTCATTTGCCACTAGGATTTGGTCCACAATTTGCTTGCCTTCCGCAAAAGCCACTTGGAAGGGTGATATCATTGAATGTAAGATCTGTTTAGGCCTCTCAAACAGAACCTCTGATATGATCTTATAGAGACTCTCAATCAGACTTATAGGTCTAATGTCCTTTGGATATTTTGCCTCCTTAGGCACCAGTGGAATAAAAGTAGCATTTGCTCCAAAGAGGATTTCACCTTTATGGAAAAACTCTTCAAAGACTTTCAAAATATCTGATTTCAGGAAATCCCAACATTCTTGGTAGAATGCCATGAAAAATCCATCCAGTCCAGGGGCTTTAGATCTATCCGTTGAGAAGATTGCTTCCTTAATTTCTACCAAATAAAATTTTCTTTCCAACACTTGGGATTGTTCCTCCGAAATTGTCCCAATCCAAATCCGGCAATCCTGATCTACTCCCAACTGGTTTTGAAAAAGGGTCTTAAAATGGTTCAAAAGGCCCTTGTAATCTCTTGAATCTCTCTTAGCTCCTGACCTTCCTCTTCCACATTGTGGATGGTGTTTTTCTTTCTTCTAACATTTGTAAGTTAGTGAAAAAATTTGGTGTTACCATCTTCTACAATCCACTTACATCTAGACTTCTATCTCCAACATTATCTCTTCTCTCCTTAAGATCTCTTCCAGTTATAGCTTCTGTTTCCACCTTTCCTCCTGTGATATAAAGCTCTTTATTTCAGTTATAGCTTCTCTTTCCTATCCAGCTCTTCTAGCCCAGAGGATATTTTCTCTTTGGTTTCTTCTACCCTTCCAAAATGCTCTTTATTTCAGGCTTTTGTTTTCTCCTTTAATTTTCCTGCAAAAACTCACAATTTTCTCTCCCCAAGGGAAGCTATCGCTGATTAGGGGAGCTGGTCCCTTCATTGATCACTAATATTAGTTTGACAAATCCAAACAGACGTAGTAATGCCTATGCATTGGTGACTTTCACTATCAATTTGAACTTAACGTTGATATGTATCAACAATTGACAGATTCAATTTTCTCAAAATTTGTTTTGTTTTTGATCAGTAACTTGTTAATTTATTGATACTATCAGAATATACAGTGTGGGTTTACAAGAAGTACACAGGCTCTATGGTAAAATGGAGTTGGCCCAAGCTACTCCCCCTACTTCAATAAGTGCTCCACAAAGTCCACAATTCATACACATTCCTTACCCCAGTGGGTATTCAACCCACATCATAA